TAATTGTTGAGAACTGATTATTGAGAACTGCTTACCAAAGTTTGTATTGTTGATCAGTTGTTAGAATTCGACCACCATTGTTTGGACTTAACAAAGGTATTTTTTGGCATTGGCAATGATGAAAACATTTTGTAACTGTCTCTCGGACGATACACATTGTACTGTGTGCTAGTTCTAGTTAAATATGTGATGTCAGCAAATCAGCTATTCAGATAATTTAGGTAATTAATTAATTAATTTATTTCATGAATTTAGCAGACAGTACTCATATTAATTATATTTTATAGTGGTGGCAAAGTCTAGCACTGGCCTTGAAAGTGACACTTATGACTTACGAGGTATCATTATTATTATTATTATTATTTGAGATAGAGCCTCAAGCTGTTCCCCTAGGTAGAGTGCCATGGCATCACAGCTCACAGCAACCTCCAACTCCTGGGCTGAAGCAAGTCTCCCGCCTCCACCTCCCAAGTAGCTAGGACTACAGGCGCTTGCCATAATGCCTAGCTAATTTTTGGTTGCAGCCATCATTGTTGTTCAGCGGGCCCAAGCTGTATTCGAACCCACCAGCTCAGGTGTATGTGGCTGGCGCCTTAGCCACTTGAGCCAGAGGCGCCGAGCCCGAGGTATCATTATTAAAAAACATATATATTGATAAGGAAAAGGTTAAATCTTGGGCATCAGCAAAAATCACAATAGAGAACAAATGCTTAGAAATATTTCATCCTTTTGAAACAAACCATATTCCATACAATAATGCACTAAAAATTGTGGGATACGCGCTGTCGTTACCAGGAACTAATGCTGCGACTGAATGCATTTTTTCTATGGTAAATAAAGTGTGAACATCAGAAAAATCACAATTAAGTGCTGAGACTTTGAAAGCCATTTTATGTGTGAAACATAATTTAACAAATTCTTGTGAAAAATTTCATGACCTTTTAAACAACAGCAATCTACTAAAAAGAATTCACTCAAATTAGAAATATGCCAAAGAATAAAATAATACTATACGTAATTTTAAAAAATGTATTACATTTGTAAATTGTACTTATGTTGAAATTTAAAAATATATATTCCAATACTATTTTTGCGTTCTATGAAAATTTTTGTTGCTCCATATAGACAAAATTTTTAATTAAGAACCACCCCCCCCACCTGCCCCACCCCTAGTCAATGGTGTCCCGCTTTACCAATGTCAAAATCTGGTCACCTTATTTAAA